GTGCCCCTTTCTCTTCTCAGAAAGACGCCAGTCCTATCAGATGAGGGCCCCTCCCTCATCATTCCACCTAACATTTGTCACCTCCTTGTAGGCTCTTCCTCCCCATACAGTCTCATTAGAGGTTAGGGCTTCAACACACAAATTTGGGTGGGGTTACAATTCAGTCTGTCCTACCTCTTCTACTCTAATCTCCATATTGTAACCCAAGTGTTACTTTATAAATGGAAAGCTGATTTTGCCACTCTCTCTCAAAAGTGGCTTAAAAATCACTGATGCTTTGCACATTCTGGCTTACCTCACCAGCAATTCTGTGTGTGCTTCCTCTACAATAACCTTCTTTAAATTCCTCAACAGTCATGTTTTTGTTTATTCCACGTCTTTCGTACAGGCTGCTCTATTCCAGCATGGCTGACTTCCCTCTGCTCCTGGGAGCCCTCCTCTAGCCCCCAAATACTACAAAATTGTATATGACTTTCAAGGAAGCTGTACCATAATGTCCTATACATTTTCTTCACTAAAGTTATCTCAGGTATTATATATTTGTGTAATTAGTTGATTATTGTCTTAGTCCACTCAGGCAGCTATAACAAAATAGACTCAGTGGCTTATAAACGATAAAAATTTATTTCTCACAGTGCTGAAAGCAGGAAGTCCAAGATCAAGGCACAAGCATGGTTGGATGAGAACCCTCTTCCCCGTACATAGCCAGCAATTTCTCCTTGTGGCCTCAGATGGTGGAAGGGGCTAGGAATCTCTGTGGGGTCTCTCTTATGAGAATGTTAACCATAGTTATAAAGGCTCTGCCTCATTACCCAGTCACCTCCTAAAGGCCTCACTTTCTAATTCTATCACACAGGGCATTAGGATTTCAGCATATGAATTTGGGGGCACAAACATTAAAACCGCAGCAACTAATGTCCATTCTCCTTACTAGACCACAAGCAACCTGAGGCAGCTATCTTGTCCACATTGCCCATCCTCATATCTGCAGCATCTTGCATTGGTCCCACCACATAGTGAATGAATAAATGTACCCAGAATTCCATTAATTTACTTGATAATAGATTATAAGTCCTACTTATAAATGTTTTTGTTTAACTAGTATTATGCAGAACATACTTTAGGAAACATAAGCTAAACTTTTCTGGAATAAAGATAAACCCTGGCAAATATAGCCATAGGAAAATTTTCTCAAATCTAGCATCCTGAAGTTTACATACCTGTGGACACGAACCAAGAGAAGTCAGAAACCTGATTAGGAGAGTTTTAGACAGGTCCTTGAAGAAAAATGCAAGATGGATTCTGAAAGGACCCCTTTCCCTCTTTTTCTTGCACCAACTGCTAATCCTATGATCAGAATCAAAGTCCTACTTCTCAAGCATAAGGACCCAGGTGCATGTGTTCAAATTAATTAATGATATATTTACTTGGCTTCCACAATCAATTATGTTATCATGTGATTGTTATGAATGTACAGGTGTGTCATTTTAATACATTAAGGTGCATGTGTCTGGCTCCACATATAGAAAAATTCTATCACACTAGGAGAACTTCACAAACAGAAGATTTCCTGGAAACCATGATTTGTGCATCAAACAGTGATTTCTATAAGCTAATCTTAAAGGTCCTGTCATCTCTCAGATTTATGATTCTACTTTTTGATGCTTAAAATTTAACACCCAAAAAAGGTTGGTGATATCTGAGATTGTAGAGAAATGTCATCAGGGATGCTTTGGACAACAAAGGTGCTATAAGACTCACTAACGTAAATGCCAAGAGAAAGAAGGAGCTACCACTCATATATGTAAATGGAGCTGCCTGATGTCTAATTTCAGAATACTAATGCACTTCTGTTCTTCAAAATTATCTAAGGATTCATTTAAAAGGTGGCAGAGAAAAATAAAGTTTATGTAATGAAATGTTAATGTAAAACGATGAGTCATTTACACCAACTTATGGTATATTGTAGTTCCTGTTGAATCAGGTGGTAGAGAGGTCTGGAACTTTAGACCATAAAACCTCATTAATTTGTTTTTCAAACTCAGTATGATTTGTATTCAGTTGATTATAAAGTTTGCTTTTATATAATCCATCATAAAGGGTTTGCTAAGCAAATGAATATCATATATAAGATTACAGAGATGTTTATCCTTCTTAAGTCAAACTATTCAAGTACTTAAAAACCATTTGCATATAAGCAATTAATAGGCTCAATAGAAGAGATACTTAGGTATTCATTAAAGCAATTCCTGTGGGACTTTACTTGGCAAGGCTTTGGGTATAATTAAACATATATTAAAATGGGTGAACACAAGCATCAAGCATTTAGAAAAGTTTTGTCTATTAACCAATTAACAGTAGAGTGTTTTGTGTCATTATTCTTTCTAATTTCCACATACTTAGGTGCATATTTACCAGTCAGATCATGTACAATATGTCACGTTCATCCTTGAAACTGAAAAAATCAAGTTACTTTTTATCCAAATATCTCTTAGTTCAGAAACTTTAGAAATCCTTACTGGCCTTGCTCTACTTATTTTGAAGTAGTCTTTCAAGAAGGCAGTCACCAGAGGGGGCTGAGCCCGAGCAAGCACTGCAGAAGCAGCCTGCAGCAACTGAAGCTTCTCCCAGCCGCCACCACCTACCTATTCAACCAACAAGCCCAAGAGGCCAGATGATGAGTCTGATAGCTCCAGATGGGACCTGCTCAGCAGCAGGGAGACCCAGAAAGTAAGATGTCCATGGAAAGTGTCATCTACCTTGTTCAAAGCATTGTTTTAAAAGAAAGACCTTAATGCTTAGCATAACTTAATCTTTAATGATAAATCTGCAGAGTATTCTAATTATAAAAGAAACAATAAGCATGAAAAAAATGGCTAAGTTGGAAAAAAATCAGAGCCAGTTTAGAGAAAAAAAGCAGAAAGTGGGCTCAAATCAAACTAAATCAAACTAATCAAATCAAACAATGCCAAAGCAAGCTATTGAGCTTTTTAGTCCCTGTAGAGATGGGCATTTTGACAAATTAAATGAGGGATATCAATTTCTAAAAGCCTGACAGTCTCACATTTACTTGTTCAAAATTTTCCTCCTCTTGGGCATTAACTTAGAGTGGTTTTTCTGGAAAACTAAAATAAAACACTTGTTTGTTTAGCATTCCCCTCCTGCCCTTCCTCCTTTCCTTCTTCCCTTCCTCCCTTCTTCCTGGCTGCCTTCCTCAAAGATATGTTATGTCTCCCAGAAACGGAAATGTGCTTGGGTCTGTAACATCAATAGTGATGAATCAAAGCCCGACAAAGATGGGGTTTTATATCAGAAAAATGAAATAGACTCAATGAAAAGTGTGGGTCATAAATAGAATTCATGAAAATGACTTGTAAGTTATAAATGCAAACCTTATTATTCTCATCCAGGGGTATTCAATAAATCTCTGCTGATAAAGAATACTGAAGTGTTCACTAAATTTTTAATATCTTTCCTGTCAGTTATCACTGGCAGATGCCATCAGGCATTTTGTCTAAAAATGAATTTAATAAAGTTTATGCTCATCAAGAAATCAATTAAAATGAAAGCTGCCTGCAGGCCAACTTCACCCCCAGATGGTGATGGTGGCTTGTTCCTGTGCATCTCTGTGTTGACTTAGCAACTCTTGGCAGCTGTGGGTAATGCAGAACACCATCCGCAGGTGCCACACAAAACTAATCAGTTCCCCCAAGCAAAATCCTATCACTTCCCCTCCCCTGAAACGTTGGATTGAAAATGGAAATACCATTGTTTGAGGGGAAAAAATAATGCCCTGGCCGGGGTGGGGTTGGCTGTTTAGAACATTGTCCCGTAGGAAACTGAAAGGTCACTGGATTGATTCACAGTCAGGGCACATGCCTAGGTTGCATGTTCGGTCCCCAGTTGGGGCACGTACGAGAGGCAATCGATCAATGTTTCTCTTTTGCATCGATGTTTCTCTCCCTATTTCTCTCTCTCCCTCCCTTCCCCTCATTCTGAAAATCAATCAATATGTCCTTGCATGAGGATAAAAATAAATAAAAAGAAAAAATAATGTTGTTGTTTTGGTTTTACTATGGAATGATAATCAATGACTGCATACAAATGATGCCCAGGGGAAACAGTGAAATACCTGTGTTCTTGGTAAGAATGTTTGTTGCTAATAAACAAAAAATATAAGGGTCTTAGGCAAACACGAGTGTTTAGATGTGAGTGTAAATCATCACTGCTGGGTTGCAAACCCATCGACTAATATCTGCATAGCACCTAACCACTTATACATATATATTTTCATATTTGATATCAAAGTAAACCAATAAAGTTGTATTTTGCTATTGTTGCCAATTTGTACACAAGGAAGAATCAAAAAATGATATATGACTTTTTCAAGCTCATGGAACCAAGTAGAGGTAAAGCTAAGCTGAAATTCAGTTCTTCTGAATCCAGATAATCTGCTCTCTCCATCCATCCAAGCTGTCTCTGTGTAACAGTTCTAGAGGACTTTAGAAAATACAAAATAATTTCAGACCCTGTGCAAGTTCAGTAGTCTTCAGAATGAAGACTTTAGTGCTCTCAGAATTCTGGGTTGAGAATTTAAAGTGGATCCACTAAGCATGAGAATGTCAATGGTAAAGCCTTCTCTTTGAGTTCAATTCCTCTGCGTGGAAATCTAAGACTATCAATTTGTTTAGAATTCATAACATTTAGAACCTAATTGTTTAAGTGTTCTGCTCCTCTTGGCTTGGTTCAAGTGCTACACTTGTAGCAATGCAGAATCTTAGTCTCTGTCCCAGGCATACTAATTTAGAATCTGCATTTTATAAGGTCCCCAGGTGATTCACACACACATTAAATTTTAAGACGCACAGCTCTGGCATAAAGCTCACTGGAATTTGCATTCTGGTGAACTGGGGGCTCTGCTGCCATCGGAAGTGTGGGACTGTGGACCAGATAGTTCCTACTAGGTCACAGCTAGATTTAGCTTCTCACTTGGTACTCACACACACGCCACATGTTTCCCTCTCAAACAAATGAAGAAAGCACTGGGTTCAGGCAGGGCAGAGAGAAGCAGAGCTGACACTGGGTGACTCGACATTTTCTGCAAGAGAAGACTGAGGAGAGAGCATTGAAGAATTGGCAGACTGTTTAAATGCATTAGAAGTATCTTTTCCCAGAAACAACAGTTTTTTGATTAATTATTTCCCTCATTACTCATGAATTGAAGTACTGCATGTTGGCCCCAGTCCCATACAGCCCTGAAGATTAGCACGGGCTACTCTCTAAGCATCAACCAAATATACCATATGAGTCATCTGAAAGCTTCAGTATGTGCTAAAAACTCTGATACTGGAACTTACTTTACATTCAGTTATGATATATTTTGTAGGCAATGCATATTATTCTGAAAGGGTATTTTGCCTACAGAAAACAAACTTAGGAACCTGCTTCAGGTTTCAGAAGTTTCTGACAGTCATTTTAAAGATTTGTTCTTTAGAGATTACTGTTCAACTGACAGTGATTTAAAAGATCTGTTCTCAGAATCATACAACAGAGGGGCTGGGAGTGAAGCAGACAGACACCTCAGGTCAGTGAAGCTGTGGGTAAACAGAGCACCCAGTCCAGACGTTGCATGCCTCTAGGAACTATAAAGCCTGATATCAGCATTCAGTGAAGCACTAACCAACTGAAAGGCCCAAAAGACACACTGCAGCAAACTTCCCAGGCTGTGGCAGACAGACCCCTACTGACGCCCCACCAGCATCTTAACCCAGTTGTCTTAGCAACCACTTAAATCCACTCTGACTATAAAGGTTCACCACATAAACAAGGTGGCCCAAACCCAACAAAATCCTGCTTAAATTGTAAAATAAAAGGTCTTTTTAAAAAGGCAGATATGAAAGTACAAAGTCCCCAAGAAGAAGCACCAATTGAAAATAAGCACTTAATAAATGCGTGCTTGAAGACTTTGAATGAAGGAAACAGTGACTCAGTGGAGGCAGTAATTGTGCCACTACCGTACCAGGTTTGTAGAGTATGGCATCTACAGTCCTCTTTTCTGATCAAACTTTGAGGGTATTATTGCTTTGCTGCGATTGCGTCTTGTAGCAGTGATGAGGCTCACCAACGTCACTAACATGAAAAAATTGTCTTCCAAGTGTTCACGTTGGAATGGGTAGCACAAAGTGCACAATTCTGATCTCAAGTGAAATCAGCAATGCAGATAATTTAGAAGTAAATTTATAATTATCACAAAACATCCTACAGTGCAGCAAAGCATGTGCCCTGAGAGAAAGAAGCAAAGTTTTGTAACTGGACGGAGGAGGGTAAGCTGGGGCACATCAATGGATCCTTCCGCAGTAGGGCGAGGAACACTGATGGAACTGCGGCTTTGGGGGCCACAGCGGACACATGGACACACAGTTACCCAGGCCACTGGCCATGATACTACCCTTAGGAAACATGAGATCCCGATCTATGTAATCACGTGCTTCTAACTTTCAAGAGCCATCGCAAAAGTCAGGACTGGAAAGCTGTTAATATCAAGAAACATTTCCTGAGAACCCGTTAAGTATAAGACACTCAGGAATATCATTGGTAAAAATAAGAAGTCTGCATTAGCTATAAAAGCAACCATATTCATTAGCACTTCTTTATGTCCCACTTAAGTTACTTTTGAAATTATATTTTGTTGGAGAGAATGATCTCCTCACTACCACTTACACATTTTTACATGAATCCAACTATATCAGTCACAGGGTAGTCCTTGTTAAGTAAAGAATAATTAGTTCCCTTCCTAAAATGGATGCAATAATTTAAAAGAATAGTAGCCGTCATCTCTCAGGGGCAAAAATGAGTCAGTGAAAGCAAAGTCTCTCAGTAAGAACTGTCACCGTGTGACATCAGGGATGGGGTGCCCTCCGGTGAGGAGTGAAATGGCAGGTGAAGCTGAGCTGCATTTACCAGAAAGAAGAACTCACAGCACTGGGTGTTCCCATGAGCCAGAGCAGAAACATCACAAAGGTAATAAATTATGATAAAATGGGCAGCTCCAGTGCAAGCACATAAAAGCATAAAAAATTACTAAATGAGAGAGAGTTTATGATTCATCCAGGACAATATTCAGGCTCTAAAAGTGATAGCTTGTATGCGCACACTGTTAGGCTGAAAAAGAAAACGAGGGTCTGTGCATCATAAATGCATTTCAAGGAAGGGAAATGGTCTTATGGAAAAGGTACCCCCCAGCACAGGGTCTGGTGCCACAACACACATTTTTAGCTAACAAAACGGTACATCCATTAGTACCCCCAAGGTATGGAAAATATGCAAACCAGTGGCCATGATGTTTGGGTTTGTTTTGTTTTGTAGATTTCATGTTCTAGATGTATTGCCAAGGCATGAAGAGGGGAGGAGAGAGAGGAGGGGAAGGAGAGGCCAGAGGCGAGTGGGGGGAGGAAGGGCTCATTCACGAATTCGCAGTGCTCCCTGCATTTCTAAATTAAATTCAAAATAAAAGTTTCCAAAATAAAGAGACATAGGCCAACATGATTATTAACAAAAATGAAATAGTCTCTATTATAGAGTCAGGGTATTATTTTGTTTAGTTTAGTTCCATAGCTAAGAGGGCAGCCACAGAGGACAGAAACTTGAAATGAAAATAATGCATTAGATGTTTGAAGGTGCAGCACACGACAGCAAAAGACGACACTGCCGGAAGGGGTCACTTTGAAGTGATAAGGAAGAAGGAACGGGGTGGTGGAGGAGAAGAGAGTTGGAAGAAATGGAGCAGGAATAACATTCTTTTCGTGTAAATTAAAACTGAATGTACAAGGATGAACACAGCCCCTGTCAGGATGAGCTATTTGGGTAGCAGACAGTACTATGAGAATTACAAATAATTGGCAAACCACAGGTCTGCCGGCATGCACATTTCTCCTCTCTTATGCCTGTTAATCAAGTTTTGTTTTTTTTTTCCAAGGAGAAAAACAAATTCTGAAACATCAGTTTCGTGAACCCCTGGCAAAATCAGGAGCAGTTTGGTCCCTGCCGATGACAGACAGCCACAGGCAAACCAAACGCCAATCAGGCAAGAGCTGCAATGTCTTTCTCCATTTGGTAACAAACACCCTTCCTGGAGTCTGTCTTTCAGGTATAAGGTGACTGCCCCCTTTTCTAGTCTCTCTCTCTCTGGTGCAGCTACTGTCCCCGTCCCTCCCTGCCCAGGGCACAGCCCCGAGTCCGCAGCTGCCATGCCGCAGCCCTCCTCTGGGTCCACATGGACACAGGTCTGCGCCTATCACCTCCCCTCTCGCAACGGGAAACACGCAGTGTGTGCTGTGCACCAGGCGCTTGTCCAGATATTAATCCATTTTCAGTGTTTCTTTCAGAAAACAGCCCTATAAGGTTGATACTATTAAGACCCTCACTTTACAGATGAAGAACCTGACTGAGCACAGAAACAGCAAGGACCTGGCCAAGACTCGGAGGGAGACCAAAGTTTTGCCACCACAAAATGTGCCTTTTGGGACATTGATTTTAATGGGTTATTAAGAAACAAAAGACTCACCAAAGAATCTTTAACCCTCCCCTCTGGCCTAAAGGAACTCAGATAGAAAAACCCACTGCAGAATGTGAATCTTATTATAATCATCTTAGCATGTTCACCTGAGCACATGTGAATTAGCACATAGGTGCTGGGACAGGAGGAAAGTCCTGCAAAGCCTGGCTCCCTCCGTGTCCCACTGCTTCTGGACGGCCCAGCAAGAACTTGCCTACCGCACTCGCTCTTTCTCTTACCTATGAATTGCCTGCTTTCCTGCCCTGCTTCTTCTTTGCCCAGCAGGCCATAGGAGCCTCGACTGCCCCATGTGTTTCAGGTCACATTCGTAGTAACCCCTGAGTGTACATGAGTTTAGTAAACTTTGAACTTTTCTCCTGTTTATCTGCCTCTGCTCCTTTGATTATCAGACCAGCTAGGAGAGCTTGGAAGGTGGGATGAAAGTTCATTTTTCATGCCCCGTATTATACACCCAGGAAGGGATCTGAACTCAGGAAAGTCTGGCCCCACCATCCTCTCTAACAATGATATTATATGAGGGAGGACCCAAAAATGGACTTTATTTATAAAAAGTTATTCTTATTCATACATGTTTCAACTTCAGTCACCTTCAGAGTCCTCTCCATTTGATGCAAAACACCTATCGAGACACTTTTTCCACTGCTCAAAACAGTTTTTGAACTTGTTGATTTTTATGCTTTTGAGTGTTTTTGCTTTTTTTTTTCACCTCTTCCATATCAGCAAAACGTTTCCCTTTGAGGACTTTTATCATCTAGAGAAACAAACAAAAAACAAGTCATTTGAGGAATGGTAGAACGTGGGGGTCCTGCTGTTTTGGTCAAAAACCACTGAACACTCAGCACAGTGTGGGCAGGTGCTCCGGCAAATCACCTTCATGAAATGGGTAAATGTGGTCAAAGGGTCTTCAGAAAAATTGACTGAAGCCAAACACAGGCTTTCACAACAGTGCCAGCTTGTACACTGACACAGATGGGTTCCTAGAACACGCACCTGGCAGGGAAAAGCCTCTACTACAGGGGGCCCGCCCTCCAGAAGGTAATTCTGTTTGGGGCTTCTCCCCTCGTACAGTTCCTGTTACTTTTCAAGTTTTCATTCATTCAACAGACATTTATTTTAATTGTCTCAGCATTATAATGTGAGAGGAGCTAGGGAGTAAGTACATCAATAAGTAAAAGAGATACAGCAGTTTTTCTCAGGAGCTGAAGTTAAGTTGGAGTGATAGACAATGAACAGGTGATCCAGTATATTATCACGTTGTGAAAGTGTTCTAAGAAAAAGAAACAAGGTGTGGTTAGAAGTAATAGTAAAAATAATAGTAAAGAGCATAATATTTGGCCCAGACCTGAGGGACAAGAAGGAGTCAGCCACACTTTGGACAGCACCGTGTGGAGCGTTACAGAAAAGGAGGAAGAGCCTGGGCAAAGGCCCTGAGGCAGGTAAACGCTCCCCATTGCTAAGAACTTAAAGGACGGTCGTGTGACTAGAGCGAGGAAGATGAGGAGACAATGAAA